TGTCCATCCCTGTGTCCATCCCCGTGTCCATCCCTGTGTCCATCCCCGTGTCCATCCCTGTGTCCATCCCTGTGTCCATCCCCGTGTCCATCCCTGTGTCCATCCCCATGTCCATCCCCACCAGGGCACGGCAGCTCCGCGTGGAGGCCAGAAATGGTGACACAAGAGGGAAAGTGCTTTGGAATGACTGAGATTAATTACTCTGCTGCTAATCATGTGAGGGATCCAACCTGCCAGCTGAATTGGAAGCCTGTGATCCATCTCTCCTTGTCACATACTGTGGTTGGCATGTGGTGTTGGTGGCTGCTGGGGGGCCAAGTGCCCAGGCTCACACCTGGCTCCGTGCCCCTGCCCTTTCCACCTTATCTGAGTGCTGGCTGGTCCTGATGAATTTGCGTGTTTTAAATAAATTTATTTAATTAAAATACACAAATTTTATTTAAAATATCCAAAGAGGCCGATGCCCTGGGCCCCATCTCTGCCTGCTTCAGAGCTGCCATGTGACAGTGCTGTGTTTAGTCATGGCACAGTTATGAGACCAACGCAGTCATTAAGCTCTCATCTTTAAAACAAAGATAAAATTACGTGATTAAGATCTAATTAAAGTCCAACTACCAGCACCATGAATCACTTCAGCACACACTTTAATGGATGCCTTTCGAAGCCATTGTGCATTTGGTTTCCTTCTGTGGCCGGTGATTTCCCTGCAGGGACTGGGTCTTCTCAGGCTGATGTTTGTTCTCGCTGGCTCTGATTTGGCTGGGGACCACTAAAAATGTTTACATGTGAGCGAGGAGCTTGAAAATCCATTTCTAACCAGACAGAAAATTTCATTTGACAAGCTCGTTCAGATGTGCTGTGTCTCTGCAGGACAGAGCAGAGCAGGGGGGCTCCTCACCCACCACCAGCCCTGGCCCCAGCTGGGGACCATCTCCTCAGCTCTGCCATGTGCTTGCTCTGGCACACTGGGGGCTTGGTGCCCCAGTGCCTTGGTGCATGGGCAGTTGGTGGCCTGAGCTGCACTAAGTGCAATTAACTCTCCTCGTGAAGAGAAAAAGCAAATGAAAACCTCCCTCGAGGCTCTCGTGCTGTCCACCCTGAGGGACAGAGCTGTAATAATGTTGATGGAGAATATTGTCATTTCCCTTTTCCCCCACAAATCATTGCCTGTCACTGTCCCAGCGCTGCCTCTCCCAGAGCAACACAAGCACTTTAAAGCCCTTGCTCCTGCGCCCACAGCCTGCCAAGGCAGAGACTCTGCCAAGGGCTGCCTCTGCCAAGGGCTGCCTCTGCCAAGAGCTGCCTCCCTGGGACCAGCAGACCTGCACCTGCTGGACATGCCGTGGTCTCACTCCCAC